GTAAGAGAACCACCAGGATTGAGGCTTTGCCTAGCGGGCCGCTCCATCTATTGGTGGGGAGCAACACCTGCTGGAAACCGGGTCCAGCGTCCCATGAATACATCATTGCCACACAGTACCTCAATGAGAGTGACGCCGTAGTGCTGGAAACCGGGTCCGGCGTCCCATATCCACTCTACTCTGCCATTCCTATCCTGCAGCAGGGTCGGGTATTGGGGGGGGGGCACCGGGGGGCACCAGTGGAGTCTCCCTCCATCCCCTAGAGGCTAGGATAGAGGGCATACTCACACTTGCACACAGACAAATGTATCTAACTAATTTCAAGGCCGAAATCATGTTTCGTTCTTTTTTTCTTTCCTTGGGATTCATTTTTTTTTTTTTTTTTTTCTTATTTTACTTTTGGATTCTGACAGAAACGCCACGGGCCTGATACACCCAAACTGCAACGTGCTCACATTAGCACTCAGGAGAATGCATCCAACTGCATTCACATCCACAGGGTTGTTGTTGTTGTTGTTGTTTTTTTGCTGTTTTTGTTTTCCAACTGGTCCCCCCAGCCTCTGCCCGTCCAGCTACTGGTACTGCCAGGCTTGGCAGGCTCCACATACCTGTCGCTGGAGGCTCGGACTTGATAGCTGGGCCAAGTACTGGTGGTTTAATCAATCCTATCTACCGTGACCCTAACCTAATGCGGGGGGTCCGAAGGCAACATACAACAGCAGCAAAGAATACCCAAGAATGAATCACAGAACCATATCCACTCAAACCCTAATTAAGTTGTCAGAATTAGCGTCTAACAAACCTTATTAATTACCCAAGTCTCAACCCTAATAAAGTAATACAATGTTATCATCAGTCCATCACAAGGGAGAACCACGACCCAATGAAATACAAAACGTTTCATGCGAGCATATCAAGCACGTCCGTGAGCATAAACGAAGCATAATTATCAAACCCCAAAACCACGTAATCATCTAACGAAAAACCACAGATACAGCAATTCCGAAGAGTAAACTACCCAACCCAGTAATTTTGAGAGGGCTTCCCAAAAAAAAAAGAAGTGTTTGAAAAATATTGGCAGGGTTTGTCCTTTAGTGGGGAGCGCAAAAAAATAGGAAGAAGGATGTACACCCAAAGAGAAGAAGTACATAAGCAAACCATAAAGGAATGCATGCAGAAAACTGAATGGGGGAGCTGATTCAGCGTCGGTGCCCGCGTCCGCTGTCTGGTCAGGTTGCTCCAGTAGAGAGTGATGTTCCTCGCATGAGGTAAGATAGAAATGGAGTGGGGGTGCGCCAGGAGATATATATCGAGAGGAGTGGTGGGACA